GGAGACCTGGTTACCTGGGATATGGAGAAGGCTGAGGTACTCAATGACTTTTTTGCCTCAGTCTTCACCAGCAAGTGCTCTAGCCACACCACCCAAGTTGCAGAAGGCAAAGGCAGGGACTGGGAGAATGAAGAACCGCCCACTGTAGGAGAAGATCAGGTTCGAGACCATCTAAGGAACCTGAAGGTGCACAATTCCATAAGACCTGATGAGATGCATCCGCGGGTCCTGAGGGAACTGGTGGATGAAGTTGTTAAGCCACTATCCATCATATTTGAGAAGTCGTGGCAGTTCGGTTCCCACTGATTGGGAAAGGGAAAACATAAAAACATTTTTAAAAAGGGAAAAAGGGAAGACATAGGGAACTACAGGCTGGTCAGTCTCACCTCTGTACCCAGCCAGATCATGGAGCAGATCGTCCTGGAAACTGTGCTCAGGCACATGGAAAACAAGGAGGTGATTGGTGACAGCCAACATGGCTTCACTAATGACAAATCATGCCTGACAAATTTGGTGGCCTGCTATGATGGGGTTACAGCATTGGTGGACAAGGGAAGGGCAACTGACATCATCTACCCGGGCTTGTGTAAAGCATTTGACACTGTCCCGCATGACATCCTTGTCTCTAAATTGGAGAGACATGGAATCGATGGATGGATCACTCGGTGGATAAGGAATTGGCTGGATGGTTGCACTCAAAGAGTTGCAGTCAATGGCTCGATGTCCAAGTGGAGACCTGAGACAAGTGGCCTTCCTCAGGGGTCGGTACTGGGGTCGGCGCTGCTTAACGTCTTTGTAGGAGACATGGGCAGTGGGATTGAGCACACCCTCAGCAAGTTTGCCAATGACACCAAGCTGTGTGGTGTGGTCGACATGCTGGAGGGAAGGGATGCCATCCAGAGAGACCTTGACAGGCTCAAGAGGTGGGCCTGTGTGAACCGCATGAAGTTCAACAAGGCCAAGTGCAAGGTCCTGCACATGGGTCAGTGCAATCCCAAGCACGAATACAAGCTCAGTGGACAATGGATTGAGAGCAGCCCTGAGGAGAAGGGCTTGGGGGTGTTGGTGGACAGGAAGCTCAACATGACCTGGCAATGTGCACTTGCAACCCAGAAAGCCAACTGTGTCCTGGGCTGCATCAAAAGAAGCATGACCAGCAGGACAAGGGAGGTGATTCTCCCCCTCTACTCCACTGTCATGAGACTCCACCTGGAGTACTGTGTTCAGCTCTGGGGGCCCAGTACAGGAGAGACATGGAGCTGTTGGAGCGAGTCCAGAGGAGGGCCACAAAGATGATTAGAGGGCTGGAGGACCTCTCCTATGAGGACAGGCTGAGAGAGTTGGGGTTGTTCAGCCTGGAGAAGAGAAGGCTCTGGGGAGACCTTATAGCA